AGGATTGCGATAAAGATTACAAATTCCTGTACGAATGAATTTTAAATCACAAATGAATATATAAGTACGTTTTAATTTTTTTCGAGGTTAAATTTAGTTACCTCTATATAAATCAAAGTGATTATTCATAATAACTGTATCACGTTATAATTTACGTCACCACAAATCTTAACACATTTTTAGTCGTTATAAGAATTCAGAGGCAATGATTATTTAAAGCTCAAATTAAATTTTGAATATTTAACAACGCTAACATCTCTTTTGAAATATACTTTCCAGCTGGTAGCTGTGTTGGGCCTTTAGTCCAAGGACCTACTTGCGATATCATCCGACCAGGAGAGAAATGGACAGGTCTCGTTTCCGCCAGAATTCTTCCTGCCTCGGACGCCCGATCGTAAGTAGCACAACACCGGATTATTTTTTTTTGCATCTCAAAATTGTATACATATACAACGAATAATCATTAACACAATTGGGATTACAGTAAACAACGAGATACGAGAGATATAATATTAAACATAATACATTTTATCAACCTTTTGTCAAAATTATGAAAATTTATTTTAATCTAGTTAATCTGATAAGGGAGAAATAAAAATCTGAAAATTGACATCAATCACAGTATACTACTTTGCTAATAGATGAAAAAAAAATGATAAATATAAATACAAATAAATAATTATAAATAGTATTAAAAATAGTACTATACATAAATATTAGAACAATATTATTTAATACAAACGATAACGATGTTATATTTTGTATATTATATTTTTATAGTATCATCGCAATGCCTATGAGTCCTCCTAAAGGAATGACGAAAAAGATCATCACAAGTCTCCCTGCTGCCGAAGCAGCTATGGAACTTTCTTACCGAGCCGGCAAGAATGAAGGGATTGTTGGATTTTGCTATACAGCACTGGGTGACAACTGGTAGGTCTAGTCTACATTCTCAATCCAGCTAAAAAAGTGACAGATTTTAGCTTCATCAGTATGATATTACATGTTCATAACACAACTAATTTAACTACAGAACATTAGTATCAAATGCTTGATTGGATGGATGGATGGATTTATCCGATGTAAACACCAAGAATAGGCTAACCCACGAAAGTGGTGATTGGGCAGTACACCGGTAGACAATCCCCAAACTGCAATACCGCACATGCCAAGTCAGGTTCCTAAGGGAGAAATTATTGATATGTTGTAGAACTATTTTTTCTTTAAAGGGGCATAACCACCTTTTTATACATATTCCCCCAGTTTTTAAATATTAAAAAATTTGTATCTGTATCAACGTTGTTGTGTCTTAGAAAAATCAGTT